CCTGTGACCTCAGGCCATTCAGGATCACTAGAAGACACGCGGGGCTTTACCAACCAGGAGTGCAAAAAGAGCAGGCCTTGCAGGCAAGCTGCTGAGAGTCCACAGCAGACATCACTGACCACGGACCTCCTGCCTCTCTGGGCCCAGTCCCACCTCCCAAGAGTCAGTCACCTGCCTCTGCATCTGGTCAGGCCACTGAGGCACCAAGCAACCACCCCCAGCCCCCCGGGGTCCTCACTCTCTTCTCTGCCAAGTCCTTTTCCTTCTGAAGCTGCCGGCTCCTCTCGATCCAGGCTGCAGTGTCATCCAGCCAGGGGTCATCCTCCCCCAGTGTCTTAATCTTCCTGAAGAGGGAAGAAAGTGACCCACTGGGGAGCACAGCTCCTGCTCCCCCACCCCAACTCAAGAGTCTTTGGCGGCCTCCTCAGGCCCTTCCCCTGCCCGCCCTGGCTGGGAGCCCCTCACCCCAGCTTTTGGTTCAGGAGGCGCTTTTCTTTGGCAGCCGCCAGCTTCTCTCGTAGCTCCTCTCGCTGTCGCAAGGCCATGGGGTTGATGACTTCGGCTGCCACGGGCTCCTCCTTGGTGCCCGCCTCTGGAAGGGGGGCCCAGACGTGAGGCCATGCCTGCCCATGGCTGGTGGGGAGAGGAGGGAGCCACTCACCCTGCCCCCTTCCAGCTCAGGGGGCCAGAAGGGACCAGGAGAGGGGGGAAGAATCCTTCACCTCCCTACCCCCACTTCATCCCTATACCCCACACGGTGACTCCTGTGTCACCCCACACAGCATGACAGGGTGACAGACCTCCCTACCTTCCAAAGCCCCTCAAATCATGCTAAAAAAAGCAAAACATCCTACACCTGCAGATTGGTTTGCAGCAACTGTGTGCATCTCTCACTCCACCTAATGCTGCCTCACAGCCAGAGTAAGGATGCAGTGCCAACTGTTCCAACTTACAGAAGAACCTGAGTCCCAGATCCCCATTACGACAGCAAGGAGGGGCCTCATGCCTATCACCAAGCACACACATACACACACACGACCACTAACTGGGCTGAACCTGGACTCTAACCCCACTGTCTTCAGATGCCCCCCACCCCCATCCTCAGCCCCACACTCACCCTTCTTGACGGCATTGACCTCCAAGGGTTTCAGCCCCAACTTGGCCCGGAGCTTACTGAAGACAAGAGTACAACTGTTAGAAGCTGTCAAAGAAATGGGGGCACCAAATGCATTTCTGGACAGACAGAGGGTGAAAACAGGATGCGAGTGGGTGGTCCTAAGGGTCCCAAACACAGCGCCTGACCCAGGCAGCCCAGGGCATTGGGAAGGGCACTGGCCTCCAAATCAGGGCACACCGGTGCTAAGCCCGGCTGCCCCTAACCAGTGGAATGCCATCCTTCCTCTTGGGGCTTAGTGTCCTCTTCTGTAACTCAAATGGTTGGCTAAGATGATTTCTACAGCCCTTCCCATTCCAATCAGAACGCTTTAGTGTGTGAGAGCCTCCCCAAGCAACTGCCCCAGGAGCCACCTGTCTCAGAAAAAAAAAACGAGAAACAAAAAGGAGACAGCACTTACTTGGTCTCCTCGATGCTGAGTGACGAAGCATCTCCCGAGCTGGTTTTGGAGCTGGCAGCTGGAACAACAAGGAGCACGGCTCAGGAGCTGAACACAGGGCAAAGAAGCCACTTCCTCCGCTCCAGCTGCAGGGCTGAAGATGAGGGCCCCTCACCAGCACGCGGGCCTTGCTGAGACACCAGGAAACAGCAGCCTTCTTTCACCCCAGTAACTCCCACTACTGGAGTCCCAGTCTCTGAGAACTCTGCCTCTTCTACGTACGTTCCTTTCCCAACCCTAAAGGTCCAACTTCCTGCATCCCTCACTCCGCCACCTCTTCACTTTTGTATATTCTGTGTTTTCAACCTGCACTGCCCTCCCTGGCCTCACTCTGATTGACAAATTCCTATCCAAACGCAAAGATCAAATGCCACCTCCTTCGTAAGGTCCTGCTGAATTATTGATCAGAATGAACTGCTCTTCCCTGAACTCCACAGCGCCGTCAGTTGCTCCTGGGTCTGTTTCTCCCCACAGGGCAGGGACCAGGCTGACAGCATGACTGAATCCTCCGTGCAATTCACACAGTCAAGAAACATACTTACTGGTGCCTGCTCTGTGCGGGACGTTGGGGACACAGAGACAAAAAAAGCATTTCGGACCTCCTCCACCCAGCTCATAAACAGCAAACAACTTCACTGAGCACCACAGACAGAAGCTAGACACCCTCCGATGAAGCTCCCCCAACCAGCTGCCACCATGTGCTCACCCTTCCTGCATCCCTGCAACCTACCTCCTCCCCTTTTATCCCACCCGGACCCTGGATCCATCCCAACCCCTCCGGGCTCTCTCCAAGGTCACCAGCCTCTTTATTTCTAAATCCAATGGATTCTTTGCAGCTCTGGTTTTGCTTGATCTCTTGTGGTGTGTGACACTGTCGATCACTCACTTCTAACAATGCTCTGTTCCCACAGATCCCCTGGCACCGGGTTCTATGCTTTTCCTGCCTTTTTGGCTACTCCACCTCCCTTCTTGTAGTATCTTGCTCCACCTACTACTAAAATATTGGTGTTTTGTAGATTCCACTCCTGACCCTGGCTTCTCACTCGTCAATCTCTTAGTGAACTTTATTTGCCACCTAACTACTCGTGACACCCAAACTGCTCTATCCAGCCCAAACCCTGGGTTTCTTCACACACATCAAACACAACACTCTCCAAAACTGAATTCATTATCTTCCCTGCAAAGTCTGCTTCTCTTTCAAACTCCTCAACATCTGTAGGTGACACCACCACCCACCTAGCTGCTCAAGCCAAAATTCAAGGAGCCATCCTCCATTCCTTCTTCTCCTTGCCACCCTCACCCAAGCGTGTTAATTCCTCCTCCAAAACACCTCTTCAATCTGTCCACATCTCTCCATCCCATTGCTGCTGCCTTGGTGCAGGCCGCCATCAGCCCTCACCTGACCTCCAGTCTTGTCTACCCTCGATCTAGGTCTCAATGCAGTGATCTTTGCAAAATATGATGGACTCGTTCCTCGACTCAAATCCATGGCTCCCTACTACTCTCAGGACAAAGTTCGAATTTCGGAACAGGGCCTACGGCGCCCTTCGTGTTCCGATCCCTGCCTATCTTACAGCCTCCTGTCTCTATCGTGAGCCCTACAGGATTCGCCCAATACCAGGTTTTCTCTTGCCTCTGCACAGCCTACTACCACTTCACCCATTCCTTCATTCACTCCGCACATTTACTGAAGACCCTTGATGTACCAATTGCGAAAAACAGAACATCTCTGTGCTCACAGAACGTAACAAATGAAGACAACTTTTAATCCCAAATACCCCTAACAAGACTAAGCGCTGAGAAAAACAGCCTGGGGGGTGCCTCGGCCTGAAGGCTGGGCGAGCCCACCCGGGACCTCCGCCCCGCCCCGCCCCCGCGCAGGCCCCGCCCCTCACCGGCTTCGTAGCCGTCATCGCGCTTCTCCCGCTTCACGCGCCGCTCGGAGGGCTCGGCCTGGCTGCGCTCCCGCCCGTGAGTGCCACTGCGGGCCTCGGCTTCGGCCCCGCGCCGCCCGCCCCCGCGCTCGCCCCCACGCTCCCGGCTCCGCTTCCGTCGTTCGCCGCCGCCGCCGCCGCTGCCGCCGCCGCCGCCGCCCCGGTGCTTGTGTTTTTTGTGCTCTCGGTGCCGTGGCGGCTGCTCGGTGGCGCCCCCGGTGCTGGCCGCCGCCGTCGTCCCAGCCGCCTCCTTCTCCCCGCGATGCTTCTTTGACGACCCCATGGTGGTATGTCCGTCCCGAGCCCGGCCACCGCCGAGCCCAGACGACGCAAAATGGGAACACTTCCGGGTCGCCCGGCACCCGCTGTCGTGTTGCCGGAAACCAAGAGCGGCTGCTTCCGTTGTTTCCCTCGGAGCCTGCCCCAAAGGTTCATGGGAGGGCCAGGATCGGCGCCCGACTGCGCATTCGCGGCCGCCTCGGGCGGGCGGTCATGGAGCCCGTGGTCCCCTGGCGCATGCGCTCTTTTAGGTTCGCGGACCCGGTCTGGAGAAGACCGGATCCCAGAACTTGAAGGACCTAGAGGCTGTCTCAGTCAGCGTCCCCGGAGCTGGAAGCCCCTCCCCGGCTTCCCTCCGCTTGCACACCCCCAGCCACGGGACGCTCACTGCCTCACAGACTTTCCGTGGACAGCGCCCGCCGCTCCAGTAGGCGTCCTCCTAGTGGACTACTCCCTGGGGTCGTGGCTCCATCGAGCGTTGGACGACGCAGCATGTTCTCCTCCTGAGACCCACAGCCCGGCCTCCGAGCCCCTACAACCAGTATTGGTAGCAGACCCTGCCTGCCCACGTTCCCTGGATTGGGTTTTTAACCTGCGCCCCGTGAACTGCTAAGGAGCTCCAGATGAGCTTCTGTGTGTTGGTGAACCCCCTGAAATTGAGTGCAAAATTTGGCGCGCGTGTGTGTGTGTGTATTTCTTGAGAAGAGGGGCTCTAACTTGGAGTTATTTAACATTAAAAGCCCAGCTCACACGATTCCTCCTGACACCCACACCCCACAGTTGCTAGATCTGGCGGCCCCTGTGCAGCCCATCTGTTACGGTGTGATGCCTGTGCCCCTTTAAAGGTCCGCCCCCCTCCCCCACCGGAGTCGCCAAAGGCAGAGGCCATTCTGTCTTACTCGCTCTTGAATTTCTAGAACCCAACATGTATGCTGGCGACTGGGGGTGGAGGAGTCGCAGCTGTTGCTCTTTGAGACGCCCCCCTCCTCAGGAGCAGAGGCGGGGCTGTGTGTGCTGGGAGGGGGCAGCCAGAACAGCGGGAGCTCCTGGGGGATGCGAGAACAAGCTAAGCCCGCTGCCTACCCACCTACCGCCTGCTACTCCCAACCCGCAGCCTCTTCCCACCACCACCGGAAGTCTCACGCTGTATTTTCCATAAAGCGTTTAATTTTTCTCAGGGACTGGACTTCTGGTCTGGGCTTGGGTGGAGTGCCTGTCAGGCTGGCTGCTGGTGGGTGCTGTCCTTGGGGGGCTCTGAGAAGAGTGCTCCATTCTCACCTCCGTTGACCTGTGGCTCCTTAAAGATGAAGACACAGATAGGGGTCACTGCGCTCTGCAGCTCGCCACCCTCATGCCCAAGGAGACCTGGGCTATAGGAGGGGAAAGGCCATTGTCACTGATGATGTGGGTTCAAATCTGGCTCCTATGCTATGTGACCCTGAGCCAGTGACTTCCTCTCCTTGAGCCTTAGTTTCCTTATTGTGAATTGGGCCTCATAATCCCTGCTCTGCACTAGGTTCTTCTAAAGCATAAGGGACAGTATACCTGGGGTGACTGGAGTGGTACTAGCCCATCATGGGGCCTTGGTGTGTGGCCACTCAGATGGCCACAGGTTCCCAGACTGGCTCTGCTGCTTATTTGCTCCTGTGACCTTGGGCAAGACCCTGCCCTTCAGGTGCTTAGTTTCCTCACTGGGAAGTGGGGAAAATAACCCTGGCCCTGCCTTCCTCAGGCGACATGGAGGACAGGGCCTGGGGAAGGCCCTGCTGACTGCTAGAGCTAGTCCTCCAGACCTGGGAGTAGATGGGGCAGGACTGAAGCTTAGATTAAGGGTGGATCAATGTGGCTTCCCACCGAGTCCCTCTGCCTTTCCCCAGGGCAGGGAGACAGAGTTCAGACGGCTGGTGATGGCGCCTCTTCTCCCCGCAGCTGGGCAGAGCCGGTTCCTTGGTCAGCTAGACGGTCTCACCTGGGTTTCCTGGAGGTCCCCTCCTTGTCCCCCTTTCCTGCCTCCACCAGCAGCTGCTCCTCATCCAGTCCCAGTGCCGACAGCACCTGGGAGAAGCGCCGGGCCACGGTGAGCCGGGCGTTGGCCTGAGGAGAGAGAGGAGGGGTTCCTGCTCTGCACCAGGGCTGCCAAGGACACAGTGGGGCTCTGGGTACTGAGGGCATCCCAGGGCTTCCAGATGGGCAGCAGCCAGGGGTCCCATCTAAGGGGGCCCACTCCCACCTTGCTTCCTACCCACTCAGCCTGGGAGAAGCCCTGTGCCAGCCCTCACCTGCATGGCCTGCTGGAACAGGTAGGGCCGGGCCTGCACCCTGTGCTGGATGCCCTGCAGCTCTGCCTGGTACTCAGCAAAGCGCTGTCGCTCCTGGCGCCTGCAGGGAGACAGGCCTCTGGGCAGCTAACCGTGGACACAGCCATCCCCACTCCTGCGCCCACTCGTCCTCACTAAGGACTTTATGTTCTCTGGCCCTTGCCTTTGCAAAGCCATTTCATTCCCATCCTCACCCTGGATTCCTCCTGAGGTCAGTGGGGCAGGAATTATTTGACCCATTTTACCCATGATGCACCTGAGGCTCAGGAGGGTTGAGGAACCTGTCCAAGGTTGCACAGCTGGGAAGTGAGAGACTGAGTCCTGAGCCCAAGTCTGCAGGCTGTGCAGCCAGGGCTCCCCCAGCCTTGCAGCCACCCCCAAGGGAGAGGGGCCATCACTGGCTTCTGAGCAACTGGGCATCTGCTTGCACAGCCTCTCCTCTCCCCGTGTCCACACCCCTGCACCCTGTCACACTGCACCTGCGAGGAGGATGCTGTGGCCTTGGGCAAGGCCCCACTCTGGGCTCTGGGCTCAGTTTTCTTGTCTGTGCCATAGCAGGGACTGGACAAGCTTGCCAGCATCCTCTGTGGTTCTGATAAGCAGACAGCTTAGCAGTTGGGACAGAAGAACTAAAGAAATGTGTTGCAAATGAAAAGAGCACATCCCAGAAAGATCAGGGTTCCCCTGGGGAAGCACAAATCCATTTACAAAAACCCAGTTTGTGCGCTTGTCACAAATGTGTCTGCTCAAAAATCTGAGCATCCCGGCAGCAAGAGGGGCCCTCTGGCCACACCGTGCTCCGGACCAGGCCTCCTTCTGTGAAGCACATAAGAGACGCCGAGGGGCGTGGTGGCAGCAACCACACACAGGACAGGAGAGCAGCAGGCAAGAATCCGAGACTCGTGCCGGGACCTCCGGCAAGTCTGCTGGGCCCCATGGAAAAACACTGCCTTGCTGTGGACCCTTGGTTATGTGCCAGGGAAGGACGCCACCACAGCATGGCTTGATGAGCAGTGTGTAGGTCTGTGTCCAGAATCCGAGCCTGCGAACCCCCGGCTGCCGAAGCGGAGCGCGCAGTTAACCACTACACCACTGGGCCGGCCCCCCACCTTTTTCTTTTTTCATGGTCAAACTATAGGAACTGATGACTCTTCACTGACCATCAACAGTGGTTGTCTCCAGGAGTGGGCTCACAGGCGCTGTTCCCATTGTACAAGAACGATTTTGGTAATATTTGAACTTTTGTAGTAAGCATGTCTGGCATTTGAAATCGGAAAAACAAGACTTGAAAGTGTAATAATGCAGGTAGAACATTTTAACCTGAGCGTTCCACAGCTGCAGGGCTTGTTATTATTAACTGGGTGACCTTGGCCCGGCCCCTTCTCCTCCCATGGCTTAGTGTCTTCATTTGTAGAGTGTGGCCCGCCTGCCCGGGCGGGAGGGTGGCCGTGGAGTTTCAGCCCTGAGGGAAGGGGAGGGCTGGGTCTCCTTGGTCCTTGTCTGACACCTCACACTGCCTCCCTGCCCTCTCCCCACCGGGCCCTCCACAGCCCTGGCCTCCTACCTCAGCTCCTCCAGCTTGTGCTGGGCAGCCCCCGGCCCCCGGCTCCCTCTGGGCGCGTAGGCCGCCAGGCAGCGAGCCACCTGCTGCTGAACCTGCTGCTCCCGGGCCCTCCGCAGCTCAGCCTGCCGCCGCTCCTCCCGCTGCTGCCGCTCCCAGGCCTGCAGCAGGCTTCTTGGGGGGTGAGAGGGAAAAAAGAGGGATGGGAAAAGTCAGCTGGGCACAGGCGTCTCAGAGAGGGTCAGGTCCCGGGTAGGAGAGTATGGGGTCTGAAGGGATTGCAGGAGCCCAGAAAGCCGAGAGCCTGGGGGATGGGCTTTGTCGTGGAAGTCTGACCTGATGGAGGCTGCCTCTGGGGCTCGGCCCTCAGGCCCCAGCTCAAGGCCGTTTCCTACTCTTCCTGCCCGCTCCAGCCAGCCCTGTGCCCCAATTCTGAACGACCTGAGCTCTGTGGAGCTCAGTGCACACATCTGTGACCTCGCCTGTATTGCTACCTTCCCCTTGCAAAGGGGAGGGTAGGGGCCAGATCTTGTTCTTCTCCCTGGCCCCCATATCTGGTAGGAGCTAGGTGAATGCCTTTTGGTTTGAGGGACAGACCAATGGGTGAATGGATGGGAAAGAGGAACAAAATGCTGATGGGATCAATGGATGGATGAAGGGATGAATGGTGCAGATGGTTGAACAGACAGCACCTAGCTTGACCTGGAACATTCTTCCCTCAGATCTCATAGCCAGTTCCTTCTTGTCAATCAGGTCTTTGCTCAGATGTCAAGGAAAGAGAGACTCCCTGACCACTCCATCTACCTCTCAGGTATTTTCCATCTCTATCTATATATTTTGGTCATTTCTTTATTAATTATCCTTCCTCCCAAGTAGAATGTAAGCCTCATGAGAGGAGGGTTCCTTGTCTGTCCTCTTCACCACCAGCCCCAGCACCTAGGATAGTGCCTAACATAGACAGAAACTCGAATCCATGCATAATTGATTCGTCGTCATTTAGAAAGATGGACTGAGACAAATAAAGGGGTAGACGCAGTCACTCACTCAGCACATACTTATTGAGCACCAACCAGGTGCCAGGTCCTGTGTAGGGCACCAGAGAAGCCATGATCAATAAGATCTGACATCTGCCCTCATGGAGCCCTCAACCTGTACACGGGATGGACAGACAGCCCAGCACCCCAGTGCAATGTGGTGTGGCAAGAGCCACGACGGATGCAAGCACAGAGGAGAGCTTCCCAGGGGGCACCTGGCTTGGAAGTTGAAAAATGGACCTGAGTTAGCTGGGTGGGTGAGGGAGAGAGGTAGTCCCAGGAGAGGAGGGAGGGAGAGCATGGGGCATCCCAGCCACTTGGACCAGTTGGCGTGGGAGACAGGCGCCTCCTTACCAAGGAATCTGGGCTTTGTCCCAAGGGAACTGGGAAGCACAGAAGGATTTCAAGCAGGGGATGACAGGGTAAGAACTGAGGGGTGCTATCCAAATGCTGAATGGAGTCCCACCTGCCACTTCTAACCCGTCGCCAAGGCCCGCTGAGCCAGCTTGTGGCTTGTGTCAATAGACAGTTGGCCAAGCAGACAGACAGGCAGATGGATGGGTGGATGGGTGAATCAACAGATGATTGGGTGATCAGAATGACTGGTGAATGGATAAATGAAGGAATGGGTGAGAGGATGAAGGACAATGTCTCTTGAAGAACTGGCTCCTCGGCTCCCTGCCCGTGGCTTCCCCCTCTTTCTTCTTCCACTTACCTGGTAGCCTCCTGTCGCTTGTGGAAGGTACGGTTAGGGAAGTTGGCAAACAGGAAAGTCTCGTCGTTTCCCAAGGCATGGGCCTTCCCACTCTGGTTGGAGGCCTGGACAGCAGCCCGCAGAGCCTTCCAGGGCTGCTTTTCGGGGCCTATCCACAGTGGGACAGGTCAGGGACTACTCTCTCCTGGCCCCCTGGGCAATCCTACCCAGCCGTGTCTGAACTCCTGGCCCAGGCCGCTGGTTCCCTGACCTCTCTCCCCGCTATGAAGCTTCCTGGGGAGCCCAGGTGCTGAGCCCACACTCACCACAGTCCAAGTCTTGCTGCAACTTCCTCTGCAGCTTCTCCAGGTCCCATGGCCCCTGCAGCTCCTTGGCTCTAGACTTCCTCCTCTGTGGCCCTCGGAGGATGTTGGAGCTGGCGCTGCTCCACTGGCCCTGCCGTTCACTGTCATCTGAGGCCTCCTCACCAGAATTCTGCCCCCTTCTCCGAGAACCAGCCCTCCTTCTGGGGGGCATGCTGTGCTCTCCCTCCTCCGCCTCCTCTGTGGCCTCTGCAAACCACTCCTCCTCCAAGATGGAGCCCCTGCTGGGGAGCTGGGGCAGTTCCCCAGGGCTCAGACCCCTCTCGGCCTCTTCTCCCCCTGGGGCTTCCAGCTCAGCGGCCTCCTCGGACTCCGACCCTGACCCTGACCTCTTCTCGGGCTGCTGGGGGCCACACTCACTGGCTGGCTCCAGCTCTTGGCTCTCCCCTTTGCCAGGAGGGATGGAGACGCAGCCCCAGGCCCTCAGCTGCTGTCTCCTCTCCAAGTGTGGCACCTCCGTCTTCCAGCAGAAGCCATGGGCCTCTAGGAGGTTGGCTGTGGGCTTGCGCTTGGACTTGTGCTGGGGAGCCGCTGGGGGCAAGGGCAGGTCTTGGTGGCCAGGGGCCAAGGAGGAGCCAGGCTGAAGCAGAGCCCGGCCATCCACGCTGAAGCTCTCCCAGGCCCACTGGAAGGGGAAGGAGGGTTTCCGAGGAGGAGAGGGGAAGAGACTGAGGAGGGAGAGGGCAGGGGGCAGAGTCAGGGCGCCGGCCCCCAGTGGGGCCTGACACCCAGCATCCCTCCCAGCCCCTCCCGCAGTTGCTTACTTCTCAGCCTCAGCACAGCCATGCCCTTTCTTGTTCCGGCCCCTGGGCCCCCGCTCCTTCTGGTTCTTCTTTGCCGTCTGCCCTGCGCTCCGAGACCTCTGCTGCTGGCCCAGAATTACACCATCGCTGCTCTCGAGATGCCCCTGAGGGAAGACAGGAGAGGAGACCCAGCTGGGAGCAGCCTCCTGGACCACCTCTCACCTCACCCGGGGACCCTCCTCTTCTGTGCACCCTGGCTGGCCCCTCTGGGCCCTCATTACCACTGAAACTGATCACTACCTCAATTCTTCCTATTAAACTAGCTATTGACTCAGCACCTGCTGGGTGCTCAGGACTTTCCCGCATTAACTCATTTAACCTTCCAAGGACCCTATGAGGTGGATACTCGCTATCACCCCCATCAAGCTGCTGAGAACCTTGAGGCTCAGGGAGGTGAAATCACTGGACTAGGTCACACAGCTGGTAAGTGGAGCCAGGACCTGAACATGTTGAGTCTGTCCCCAGGGCCCGGATTAGTCACCAGTGCACTATGCTGCCTCTGGGCCCTGGACAGCTCTTCTGAATGCCCCACAGGGCACTGGACTTGCTAAGCCAAGGTGGAAGGAACTCATTTTCTTTCTCGAAACCCTGCTCCTCCTGCAGTATTCCCTAAATTGCTCCATCGGAAGCCTGGGAGTCATCCCTGGGCGGCATCCTCATCTTCATTCCATACCCTTTAGGCCTCCCCAAGGTTCCTGCCCACCTTGGGCCTCCCTGACTCTCATCTGGGCCTCAGCTCCAGTCTCAAGGCTTCTCAAGGGCCTCCCTCAGCCCTGGCCTCCCCAGACCCCAGATAGCCAGCCTGCCTCTGGGCAGTTGGAAGTCCCCCCGCTTGGGGCCTCCCTCACCTGCTCAATCTGGGAGATGCCGGAGAGAAGCCTGAGCAGCCCTGTGGGTGTCCCTGAATCCTGGAGCCCTGTGTTCTGCCCTGGTCTCCCCATCGTGGTCCTGACCAGCTGTTGGTGGGTGTTTAGCATATTGATGTCCTGCCCCATCCCCCACCCCCATCTGCCAGCCTTGGAACTGCCCTCCCTACCATCTCTATGGCAACCAGTCCTCAGCTAGTCTCAAGGGCTCTGGCAAAAAACAGGCCAGGAAGGGTACCCCAGGGTATATGAAGCCAAATTCCCTGTAGGGAAGAGAGTTCAGCAGGATGCTAAGGAATAGTCCAGGCCTTGGAGTCCAGAGACCCAGGGCCAAGTCCTGCCTCTGCTCCTGACTCTGCAGGACTCCCCGTTGACCTGGTGTAAGTCCCCTAACCTCGCTTGGCCTGTGTGTCCCCCTTTATCTGTAAATGGGACCTTAGGATTCAGCCATCTGGAAGAGTCCTCACATCCTGTGACGTTGGCCAGATGGCACCTGAGACGGTCCTTCTCCCTCCACCTGCCTCCTGGGCTGCCCCCCAGGCCCGGGTGAGCCCCTGTGGGGGCCAAACTGACCTCTCACAAGATCTTGTTCAAACCGCTTGCCTCCCAGCCCCTGACAGGGCAGGAAAGGCCAGGAAGTTGAATGCCACGCCCAGGAGCAAGGCAGCAGGCAAACCAGAGCCGGTTGGAGGCTCTGGAGGGAGTTAGAGCATTTGAGTCTTATTCCAAACTTCTAAGCATCCCAAAAAGGCTTGACGTGGTAAATCCCCATGGGACGCCTGGCGCTGACTCCTACGACCAACGGTATAGGGACGTGGTGCTGAGCTGAGACCCTGGAGACGGAACGGCCAGGGCTGGAGGCCTGGCTTGGTCTGTCACCAGCTCTGCGACCTTAGGCAAGTCACTTCTGTACAAACCTGGAATCATGGGCCCATCCCATAGGTTTGTTGCAAAGTTTAAATGAAATCACAAAGACGATGCACTTGGTAAATATTTGTTATTATTACTGCTAGTAATAACTGACCATTATTAGGAGGCAGTAGAGCATAATGGTTAGAGCACAGAGGAAGCGCTGGGGTCTGAATCCTAGCTCCTCCTCTCATCACGTACCTTCCTGGTGCCTCTGTTTCCTCATGGGCAACGTGAGGGGTTATAATCATATCTGCCTCCCAGGGCCGTGGTCAGGATTCAATCAGTTAATATATTCAGATACACAGAGAACATTCCACGGCTCGTAACTGCTATGTAAGAGTTGTTATTAATTAGCCAACGATGCGGCCACAATGAGGCAGGTCATGGAAGAAAATCCCAGAAGATGTCCTACAGGCATGATCTTCTCAGAGCTTGTTCCTGTGGACCCTCATCTGCCCTTAGACTCCATCCCAGTAACCCCTCTGCAGGGAGGGAGCACATCCAGGGAGGGAGCACATCCAGTTTAACAGCCTAAATAATGCTCCAGGCAAAGATCTTTTGCCACTCAGAATAGGTAAACTCTGCTTTTTCTGGTGGGCTGCCATCCCCACCCACCCGCCTCCTCTGCCGAATGTCACCCACAGGACCCCAGGTGGAAGGCGCATGTGTAGGCTGCTCATTTTCAGAGAGCAAGCTGCCTCCAGATCCAGTTGATTTTCTGGACAAACTCTGGACCACTGCCTTCCTATCTCCGTCAATATTTTTCATGAGGTGCATCCAGACCTCTTCTCTTCTCTAGCCACGCTCCCTTCTCAAGTGAGCTCGCCCAGTCTGACAGCACGAAAAGCCATCCGCTGCCTTCTGACTGCCCCCAAGTTTACGTATCTCAGCCCTGACTTCTCCCACAAAGTCCAGACTGGTATCCGACGGCCGTTCGACAGCTCCACTTCGATGATGAGTAAACCTCTTCATTTGACCTGTTGAAAGTCAGACCGTCCGTCTGCCCCGCCTCAGTCAAGGCCACGTCCATCCTTCCTGTTGCTCAGGCCAAAACCCTGGCATCACCCTGGACTCCCCTCTCTCACACTCTGTACCCCATGTACTAGCAGACCCTGCTGGCTCCACCTGCAGAATTCAGGCAGAATCCAGCCACTTCTCCCCACCTCCACCATTAACAGGCTTCCCCAAACCACCACCCACTCTCATCTGGATCACTGCAGTAACCCCTTCATCCGGCTTCTGCTCGTGCCCTGATTCTTTTCTCTACTCAGCAGCCAGAGCGATCCGGTTAAGACCAGAGCCTGTCATGCCTTTGTTCAAAACGCTCAAGTGGTTCCCATCTCTCACAGATTAAAAGCTGAAGTCCCTACCATGGCCTACTAGTTCCTGCATGATCCGTCTGCCCCGTCTACCTGCAGGTCCCATCACTGCCCACTCACTCTCATCCAACCACAGTGTTCCTTCAGCATACCAGTCAGTCCTGCCTCAGTGCCTTTGCACTTGCTGCTGCTTCTTCCTGAAATGCTCTCTCCGCAGAATCCATACGGCTCACTCTCTCACTTCCTTTAGGTTTCTGCTAAAATGTCACCTGCCAAAGACTATCTAAGTAGCACCGTGCCCTCGCTCTACTTTACTTATCAACACTTCCTATATATTGACTTGTTTACAGCCTGCTCAAGGATGTGGCTCCAGCAACTGGTCCCCTGTCTCCTCAGCAACTTGTCATTTCCTTTGGAATCATTTCCATCCGCACAGATGTGCTGTCATTTCTCTCTTGCCCCACTTCTCCTTCCCCAATACTGCTCCATTTCGCTGTTCCCCTTTGCAGCAAAACCTCCTGAGAGTTGACTTTGTTTGCCAACGTCAAGTTCCCCTCCTGTTTTCTCTTGGACCCACTCTCTACAGGCTGCCGCCCCTGCCGCCCACCAAACCTGGTCCTGCCTCCATCACGAGTGGCTGCCCCATTGCTAACCCCAAGGTGCAGTGGACCCTCCTACCCCTCTGTCTCCTCCTTCCCAGGAGAAGGCTCAGCCCGCAGTCCTCTTTGCCCACACTCCTCTCCTGGTGGTCTCATCCAGGCTCATGTTTTAAAGGCTGTCTATTTGCAAATGAGTCTCAAATTTATGTCGTCCAGACATCTCTCTCAAACTTGGAACTTGATTCCTCTCTCCCAAACTCCGATTGCCTTCTCCACTACTCCTCCGGGATGTCTAACAGGCATCTCAAATGTAACTGGCCCCTGATCTTCCCCACAGCCCCCGCCATCTTGGCCTAATGGCTATTCTTTCCTTCCAGTTTCTTGAGCCAAAATCTGGGCTCCTTCTTCTCTTACTTGCTGCGTCCTCTCCAGCAGTTAATCCTCATGTCAAAGTGTATTCAGAAGCTGATACGTCCCGTGTCACCTAAATTTCTGCAGACTTCTATATAATGCTTGTTTTCAGTCAATTCTCAAACCAGCAACCTGAACCATTCTTTTGAAACCTCTGCTTAAAACCCTGCAATGGTGGTTTTTTAAAAATTGTGGTAAAATGTACCTAACATGAAAATTTACCATTTTAACCATTTTTCAGGTTACAATTCAGTGGCATTAAGTATATTCACAAAGTGTTGTGCAACCATCACCACTATCAATCTCCAGAACTTTTTTTATCATCCCAAACTGAAACTCTCTACCCATTAAACAGTACCTCCCCATTTCCCCAGCCCCTGACAAGCACCATTCTACTTTCCATCTCTATGCATTTGACTATTCTAGGAGCCTCACGTAAGTGGGATCATACAATATTTGTCCGTTAGTGTCTGGTTTATTTCACTTAGCGTAATGTCTTTAAGGTCCATCCGTGTTGTAGCAGGTGTCAGAATTTCCTTACTTTTTAAGGCTCAATAATATCCCATTGTATGTATATACCACATTTTCTTTATCCATTCATCTGTTGATGGACATTTGGGCTGTTTCCACCTTTTGGCTGTGGTGAATAGAGCTGCTATGAGCATGTGTGTACAGATATCTATTCGAGTCCCTGCTTTCCGTTCTCTTGGGTATATACCCAGAAGTGGAATTACATGGTAATTCTGCATTTAATTTTTGAGGAATCATCATACTATTTTCCACAATGGTTGCACTATTTTGTATTCCCGCCAGCAATGTGCAAGAGTTCCAATTTTTTTACATCCTTGCCAACATTTGTTCTGTTCTGTTTTTTTGGTAGTAGCCTCCTTGTGGATATGACCTGCAATGGTTTTGAAAACTCAAACTCAAAGCCCTACAATGGCCTACGGGGCCCCTCTAATCTGGCTCCTCACCCCACTGCCTCTCCGAGTTCATCCTCTGCTGTTTTTCCCTCCCCTGCCCCAAGCACCGCCTCACCTCTGTCCTGCCCGTTCCCTCTGCCTGCAGTGTTCTTCCTCCAGACATCTGTGTGGCTCAGCCCTTCAACTTCTTCAGGCTGGTGCTCAAATGTCAACTTTCCAGAGACCCCACCCTGACCACCATATTTAGAACTGCAACCTGCCCCCAGACACACACACTTGACCCCTCTTTCTCTGCTCTTTTTTCTTTTTTCCCATTGAACTTATCACTTTCTAACATTCACCTTCTGTTATGGGCTGAATTTCTCCTCCCCCAAATTCATATGTTGAAGTTCTAACCCCAGTACATCAGAATGTGACTGTATTTGGAGATAGTGTCTTTAAAGAGGTGATTCAGTTAAAATGAGGTCATAGGGACGGGCCCTAATCCACTATGTCCGGTGTCTCTATAAGAAGAGGTGATTAGGACACAGACACACACAGAAGGAAGCCCATGTGAACACACTGGAGGAAGATGGCCGTCTACCAGCCAAGAAGAGAGGCCTTAGGAGAAACCAACTCTGCCAACATCTTGATCTTGGACTTCTGGCCTCCAGATTCGTGAGAAAATTAATTTCTGTTGGTTAAATTTCTATTGCCCATGGTACTTTTTTATGGCAGCCCTAGCAAACGAATACATCTTCTATTAAATTCACGTATTTGTTATGCTCATCATTTGTCCTTCCTGGTTAGCTCTAAGCTCCTTGAGAGCAGGGTCTTAATTCTTGTTCACAACTGTTTCCCCAGCACCTAGCACAGAGCCTGCCCATCACAGACCCTCAATAACTGTGCTTTGACTGAATGAATGGACAAAAATACACTGCAGAGTTCTATCATCTCATGGAGAAAACTGTTTGGAATAACTTATGAACATCTGCAGGTTGCTGCTTCTCA